TTATCTCCCAATAAATCTTTTGCTTATGGTCTCTAGTATATAACAAACACATTTTTATTGATCAGTTTAAGGCAGGGAAGACACCAATAATGGAAACTGCCCTAAACTGTCTTACTGCAACAGAGCTCCGTGCACACCTGACCATTTTGCCTGGCTAGTAGCTTATCTCTGTCACTCTCCTGGGTCCTGCTGCAGTTTTGACTTGTTTAACAGCATCTAGTGTCTGGAGTGAATTAAATGGAACTGACGTCAGTCAGTGCTCATTCCTCATTTTGCAAATTCATAGTGACCAGATACAAGCAGATATTCTATTTCTTTGGCAGAAGGAGCAGAAGAAACACTTAGTACTATTTCTGCCCATTTCTGATATAATCAAGGATTCATCTAGCTGGGAGAAACAAAACTTCCCTCTTTTTGGTTGGTTTCTGACCATGTATTCTTATACATGTCTATATAGATGTTAAAAAGTTTCCACCTAAACTTTGTGACTATTGTGAACAAAAGTGAAACTTATTTTTTAAATAATTTCAATGTTTATTTTAGATTCAAGGAGTACACGTGCAGGATTGTTACATGGGTATATTGCATGACAGTGAGGTTTGGGACACAAATGATCCCATCACCCAGGTAGTGAGCATAGTACCCTATGAAACTTTAAATAATCATTAATTTTAATCCACCAAGGTGGTTTCCAGGAAAAAGGTCTCATTAAATGTTGACATTTAGGCAGTTAATGAGAAGATACCTGTGAAAGAGCCTAGTCCAGGGCACAGCTGGCACCCACCAATGTTTGTTTTGTTTCTTCTAGATAATTAGCTGACTGATGCTAGGAATTTAAATATCTAGTCTTCCATTGCAAAGAAATGCTTTTATATGTGTATCTATGAGTGTGCATAATGAATACACGAAAACATCGTCCACATCTCTCTAGGGCTAAAGTTACTAGAACCATGAAATCTGTGTTGAAACTGTTTTCAGTAGGATTAATTGATCTTGCCCTAAAAGTCCTACAGCAGAGGTCCACATTCTTTGTGGTCTGAGGTATGATTATACATAAATTGCAAATCTAAAAATTCTGTAAAACTGTTTCCTAACAATAACTGTTAGTTCTGCAGCCTAGTACCCTAAACATTTTATATGATAAACTGAATCCCCTTCCATTAAAGCTAGTGTTCATACGTCATTATTCAGTTATTTTGAAACTTGAAAACTCACCCACAAGTTAATTATATGTCAAAATTCAACTATTATGTGATTAGAAGGCCTGATTTTTTTAGGGATAGGGGGAGACAGGGCCTTGCTGTGTCACCGAGTCTGGAGTGCAGTGGCGCCGTTATGGCTCACTGCAACATCAGCCTCCCAGCCTCAAGTGATCCTCCCACCTCAGCCTCCCAAGTAGCTGGGACCACAGGCATGCACCACCAAACTTGGCTAAATTTCTGTGGTTTTTGTAGAGGTAGGGTTCCGCCATGTTGCCCTTGCTGGTCTTGAACTCCTGGGTTCAAGCAATCCACCTGCCTTGGCCTCCCAAAGTGCTGAGATTATAGGCATGAGCCACCACACCCCACCTAGAAGTCCTGAATTTTAATCATCATAAGGATCTGTGGTTTTTTAAGTCACTTTTCAAGGAAATACTAAACTTCCTGACTAGGGTTTTTCCCCCTACAGTGTGCTATCTGATAAGTGAATACCTCAGACAATTTTTAGGGCTATACAGACTAACCCCAAAATGACCACAATAGAATGCCTTGCCTAGCAAGCTAGGTTCTGCTGGCGATTTGCTTGCAGATTAGAGCCATTGCAGTCATTGAGGGCAAATGTGATTCAGGCTCCTGTACCAACGCCACTGGCTTATTTGGACCCCTGGGTCACAGGGTCTCCACGTCCTATTTCAATTCTGCTTTGGGTACCTGGAACCTTGTCAGAAGTTTTTTAGAGTTTTACTGACTTGGATTTTTCAAGGTCACTTTCAAAAAAAATGTTGTTACTTGCTCCCTAATATAAGCATATGTGTAAAACTGAGTTGCTTCCTGTGTTTGTTTTGAGAATCTCATTGAGTTGATATAGCATGGTGATGCTTTATTCTAATAACGTTACATAGAAAAATCAGTTTGAGAATGCTCTTATATTCTTTATGTGCTCTGAAATGTATTCTGTTTAATATTCTGAAGTTTGTGTTGTCTGTTACTTTTTGTTCTAGAAGCTTTGCAGCGGGTTTTGGCTAAAAGCATCACGATTTTTATCTCAGTCCTTTCATTTTAAAGTGGCTGACCATGAATGTGAAGCTGTGTTGTCACTCAAAAGATTCAGGGGCCTGGCAGAGGTGGGAGGCGTTGACTAATGGTTACCAGGAAAACAAAGAGCAGGTTCAACAGATGTGGACTAGTGAGAAGTAATTTTATATCTAAGAATTAGAATAATGGAATGTGATGGTAAAATCTACAGGGTAATTGATGTGGAATGAAGATAGCAGGGCATTATCCTGGGAAATCATGGGGTCAGCTGGCTGCTCACCTTGAGTGAGAAAGGAAACAATCTTATTAAATCATCATAAAAGAAAATAGGAAGTTGTTTCTGGAGGATGGTAGCTGGAAACAGACAAGTACTTATAAGTGGTAGAAACCGTAAGCATGGCGTCACTGAAGGGAAAGATGAAGTGAAAAGTACAACAGTGCTTCCAGAAGAATAAGGTAAGAGGATGAGCAAAATCCCAATTAATTCAGTCCCAACAGAGCCTCATCATTTGGTGCAGAGCCCACTTCACTGAGTAAGGTCGAGCACCTGTCTAAACTGTAAGTTGTCAGAATGAGTACTGCGACTGCTGTGTAGTAGACAATAGTGGCCCAGCGGAAGTATGGGGCAGACTGTAGGGGCCTGCCTTCAAGTGTGGATTTATATTTTATCTAGTGAAAGGCAAAGGGAAGGAGTATTAGAAAACCATGCTTCTTTTAAAAGTTGAAAAGAATTATAATACGAAAATTTCAGTGGCTCAGGATTCTGTTAGTTCATCTACATCAGGATCAGAAAGGACAGCAGTTGACTTTGCTACTGCCAAGTCAAATTAGATTTTTAGGCAAGTTATTTCCTTGCTTATTAGAGCGCCTAAACAGTGGTTTATGTGAATGGTTTTCAGCAGGAAAATGTAGAGGTTCCTCTATCTCTGACCTTTTGCTTTCTAAAAAGGCAAATAATTTCAAAGAACACTTGCAGTTGACCGAGACAAGCGCATTTACTGAGAAGTGGATTTGACTTTTCAGAGAGAGGAACACAGTAAAAACCAGTCAACAAACCGTGGCGCTAAAGAGCAATTATGAGACGTTTTTAGAGATTTCATCTGAACCTATGTAGAAGAAATGATTTTACAATTCTAATAATAACTCTGAAATAAAAGGTCTGTTTTGGCTATATTTGACAAGTTTCTCAGTTTAAGAAAAGCAAGGACAAACTGATTGTTGCTATGTGTGTTGCTTTCGTTCCCCATAAAATACCGTCTCTAAGATTTAGCAACTGTCATTGTTGTAAACCGTTTTGTCAATTACCATACTTCTCTGTTGCTTGAAATTCGACCCTGAAGTCGAAGTTCTCCCTTTTAATACAAACAAAATGCTATTGTCTATATTTTACTACTTTTTAATTTTTTACTACTTCTTTTTGCCTAGTAAAATTATCAGAAATCCAGGGGTTCTATAGTCAACATACAAGCAGAAAATGCCCAGTGTGTCATTTCAGGAAACATGAGAATGAAGACCAGATCTCATAGATCACAGCTTCTCTGAGTATTTAGACTATGTTCAATCCCAGTAAAGCAGAGAAAACAGCTTTGCATAAAAATACCATTGAAATACATGTCTTTGTTACATGCTATAGAATAGCATGTCTGACTTTTAAAACATAGTAATTGAGAGGTGGGGAGGCTATATTTGTGAGCGTATTACAGAAAAAAAGGTATTGTAGCACCTTTTCTTGCCAGTCTTCTGATTTCCGTTCCTGAGCATAAATTGCTCCTTTAGCCATATGAATTATGGATTAAACTAAAGCAGCAGTGTGGAAATCTTTAGGATGACTTTTGAAGATTAAGGCAGAATTAGCATTTTGTAGAAGTACAAAGGGAAAATACAAACCCATAACAGTGACCAAAAAAGAAAAAAGGCACCAAGGAGCTTATTTTCCTCGTTTATTTTTTTTAATTGAAACTGCTGAATGGATATTAAACTAGAAACGTTGTCCCAACCACCTTTACCAACCTCTTTATGCCAAGGAGCTATTCACTTCAGAGCCTTGGGATTAACTGGCAGATGGGATTGGGGTAGAGGAAGGCTGAACAGATGCGCAGCCCTAGGGTCCCCGGAGCTCCAGGAAGCAGCTAGAGGCAGCCACAGTGGTCAGTGTGTGTTGGTAGCAAATGGCTCAAGATTGTCTTGTTGGAGAGTCCTGAATTCATGAGAGCATTTCTGAAGAACCATGTTCTTGACACATTAAATCAAACAACAACAGAATTGCCTATTCAGATGATGCCTATAGGTTTTCCAATAATTGGCATCATACATAACCATTCATGCTGGTATAGAAAAAGACTAGAAAGAAATAAGCCAAAATATTCACAGTGATCTCTTTGGGGGCAGAATTATGATTGATTTTTTTGTATGTTTTATTTTTAAATATATTTTCTAATCTATTTTACGGTGATTTCTACTTAATGTTTTTGCTGAGAAATAGATACTTCTATCCAAAATATATACAAGTGTTATCCCAAAATTCAGGTGATTTTCGTATTTGTCTTTTTAATCCATCAGCTGTTTATAAACAGGGACAGGTGATGTGATAGAGGGTACTTAAAAAATAATTATCAAACTAACACTTAAAGGTGATTGATTTTTTTCTTTGAAGTAATTTATTTTGTAACCAAAGTCAAGGTGGATTAAATTGATGAAAAGTTATGAACAATATTGATTAAAAATATTCCACATGGAAGCCCCGTCATATATTACACACATCACTTAGTCTCCAGATTGTCACTGTTTATTGAAAGTCAGTTTCTAGGCCTTCCAGGATGCATTTATTATAAGTACTTTTTAATGCAGAGCAGACCCCTTCTGGCATACAGGTGGTGGTCTGCTGGTGTTACATGAATGTTTAAAACTGCATGTTTTTTGTCTTACAGAGTTGTCTTGGTTCAACTGGTGCCTTCCCGGGTCGTGTTTGCTTAGTCTCCTCCTCATTCTGTGCTTCAGGGAATCCTATGACAGACTCTATCTTGATGTGGTTGTCTCCGTTTAATAGCACAGACTTGAAGGAGTTTAAAAGGAGGCTGGAAATCAATACTGCACACTGCACATTTGCTCGGAATTGCACATCTAACAGGAAAAGAGGGAGAAGAAAGAAACTTCATTCAGAGGTTTTGTTAGGATACAGATTATCACATTAATTTAATTACTACTAGGTAATAATAATAATGGGAGACTTGAGTGATAATAGGGGATTTAAAAACTCTACAGATGGCATACCTGTGCCTGATTCTGGGGTTGGAAGTGTGACTTCTTACACATAAAGCACTACCCAAGTAATACTCTCTCTGTTTTGTGCCAGTGCTAAACTACTGATTACTTGTAATTATGAAAAGAAATAAAGGGTGTCTATCACATGAAGATAACGCCTTCCCTAAGTCACATATCAGAATAGGAAGATATGCCACTAACTTCTAAAGAAGTTCAAACCCTGTATCCAATTTTAATGATAAAATAGCCAAGAGGTATATCGATGATAGAAATTAGCCATGTGTACACTACATTTTTTCTAATAAAGCCATTTCTTATATGACTCCTTATTTTAATCAGGTCAGAAGTCCTTGGCCATCTTTACTATGGTGATCAGGTGCTTTCCAGTGACTTCCGAGCATAGGCACTGTGTCTCCATCTCAACTTATCCTTGTTTCTGTGAAATACAATTTCATCTACTAGGCCCTTAAATAATTATGTGAGGGTGACTAAATGTTTAATATAATTATATTAAATATTGTATGAAAAATGTAATTCCATTAGGATCTAGCACTTTGTTACAAATGAAATGACAAGTCACATAGACATACTGTGTCTTCTGCCTGTATATGGTGGCATGAGATGTAACGTCCAGAGCCAACCATTATTTACCAGGGTTAGGTTTTATTCAGTGACCCTAGTTTAAAAATAATAATTTATCACATTGAAACTTTCAGCCCTGTGGAATGATTTCTGAATTACATCCTGTGTTTCAGCTTAGGTTGTAAAATACTCCGTTCTCTGTGAAGTCAGCATATTTGAGAGGGCAGTGTTTTGCCAGTACCTATCTTCTTTCTACAGACGATAGCTTTTTAAAAAGTAAGAGTTCCACATTGGGTAGCTCTCAGAAACAGATTTCACCGTGACGTAAAATACGCTGCAGTGGGAGTATGGTATCACCACTATTCATATTTACATCATTCCCCTCACACACAGAAACCAACCCTTTTCCCAAAAAGTCAAGAATACTACTATACCTTTATTATTCTCAGCTTCCTCCAGCCCCTCTTCTTGTTTTTCCTCACTTGAAATTGTACCTTCATTGTCAGCTAAGTATATATACTCTTGTGTTTTTCTGGACAGAGTGCAAGTGGCTCTTACTAGCCAAGGTGGTGAAGTATGGTTCAGGAAAGCTGGGCAACACTGGGCCCTGCTCCTCTCTGCACCTGTGCACGCCATGACACACCCATATGCAGATCCCCAAGTCTCTCTCCCCTCCCCCTTAGCAAGTACAAGGCTGTGCATTAACTCACCTCGGTCCCAGAGGAGCATCCTTAGAAGTTGCTTGGCAACTTTTAAGACCCTAACTTGTGAAACTAGGGAAGTAAGAAACCGTTCAAATTTAACATCTGTCTTCAGTCATCTTTAAATCATCTGTCTTTATAAACACCCTGCTCACATAGCAGAAGGACTGAAGGAACTAAGGAACTTGCTAAAGAGAAGAAAAAAACAAAAGCTAGACTTAGTTCCAGTTAATTCTATCATTCTTCTGAAATAAAAATGAAATGAAGGCAGAAATCTTTTTTTTTGAGACAGGGTCTTGCTTTGTGACCCAGGCTGGAGTGCAGTGGCATGGTGCGATCTCAACTCACTGCAACCTCCACATCCCAGGTTCAGGTGATCCTCCCGCCTCAGCCTCCCGAGTAGCTGGGACTACAGGCATGCACCACCACGCCCAGCTAATTTTTCTGTTTTTAGTAGAGACAGTGTTTCTCCATGTTTCCCAGGCTGGTCTCAGACTCCTAAGTGATCCACCCACCTCAGCCTCCCAAAGTGCTGGAATTACAGGTGTGAGCTACCATACCAGGCCAAGAAGGCAGACTCCTTGAAAATGATTCAAAACCAGCCATTAAGGATATCCACAGACCATGAACCAGATGCTAAATAAGCACTACCCCTTCCTCTTCGGAGGGAATACAGAAAGGAGAGGGAAGAATTATAAGGTATTTGGTTTTAGTCAGAACTATTATGTTTGAGGATGTTATGGTATAAAGTTCTGCTATAGTAAGATTTTTTCTGTAGAACATTTTAATTATGGTTAATTGCACTTTTTTTTTCAGGGACAGGATCTGACTATGTTGCCCAGGCTGGACTCAAACTCCTGGGCTCAAGTGATCCTCCCACCTCAGCCTCTCAAGTAGCTGGGACTATAGGCATGCACCACCACACCAGGCTTAATTCTTCTTTTAACACAAAGTAGAATAACACTTTAAAAGTATTACCTAAATGACTAATTAGTTCAAAACATCCCAAGTGGGTAGTGATTAAAGATTCTTGCATTGTTCAGAATTCTTGTTTTTAGAATACATGAGGTGAGATGTGTCCCTGTATTTTGTTTGTATGTTCTTACCCCTCCAGCAGGTAATTGTTCTAATTACAAACTGCAGCTGTTTTAAGTGATCAACAATTTCATATACCAAACCTGACAGGAAGGGAACCAAAAAGGCTTGGGGGTGGGGAGAACATTACGCATTGTTTACTTGAATATTGCAAATCATATTTTCTTTTTTTTATTTCTATCATGCATCAAAATAGACCAGCTGCTTTCTTTACACTTTCTAACCATTATAGAATCCTAATGAAATGTTACAGCTGAAAGAAATCTTAACCCTTCACTAATCCAAACCCTCATTTTAGAATTTATAGAAATGATTCTAGAGAGGTAAAGTACAACTGAGGCTCACAGTTTCTGACTCCCAAACCAGGCGTTTTTTTCCTACCTCACAGAATTGCAGCTTAATTTAGACCATTTTGGGTGTGCATGAATACCTTCCATGTTCAGAAATGATAGGGCTTAAGAGTAAGCCTCCATTATTGAGTATGGGAAGTACAAGGATTAAGTTGAGGTGATTATTTGGTTTATAAGTAAAATTCTCTTTTCTCCATCACTATCCTGTAGGTGCTCTGACAGCTCTTAGCTCTTGGGTTGCAATGACATCATGTAAAAAGATTCCGATGAATAATTCAGTCCCATAAACTATGAATTGGTAAGGACATGCTGTAGTGCAAGTTCCCTGTGGCTTATCAATTAATACTTCACAGTTTATGGGAAGAAGCATTTTTAAATACGATCCCTGGTGGAGGTATAGGAACAAGACAGTTGTACACACAAATGCGTTTCACTGGAGGATGGAGCTAATAACGAGAGAATCAAATACAAATGGAATTTTGTATATTTAAATATATATGGCCTGAGGGCCAAGTTTTTTCATAGATCATATATTCGTGTTTAATTATGGACAATGTTTACAGCTTGTTTTTATGAAGCCCTTCTAATGAGAGATCTAAGCTAAGGGATTTTAAATTGAAGAGATTAAATCCCCATCTACTTAACTTTTAATTAGTTTTTTTTTTTTTTTTTTTTTTTTTACTGTTTTACTAAAATCCAGGCATTCGTCTTACTGTTTGCGTAAGTACAAGCTTCACTTTAGGCTCAAGACTGAATAAAAATGCTTAGCAAATTTGCTTTAAATTAGTGTTTAAAAAATCACATTACACATTTGTCCCTGAAATCAGTACAGAAATTACTACCATTTTGCCATATTAAGGCAAGTACTAAAGCTGTGATATGAAGAAAATGTCATATTAAAAAAGAAACGCAGGAAACTATGAGAACATTTTATCAAACTTATTTTATGAATATAGGAGAAAAATGCAATTCCACTTTGATTTGGAATTATATTCATGCAGAAGAGACAAGATAGTTTATTTCTTTACTATCAGACAGTGTGCTGGTCTGTTAGGAAATGTGAGCAATACTCAGAGGGGACGTGTCTGGGCGGTCTTAGAACAGGGCTTTACAGTGGGCTTTGGGGTGCTTTGTGCTCAGCAGAGGCAGGGTGGCCTGCCCACTCAGCAGACAGCTTGGCTCTCGAGCTCTCATTTCCTCATGTGTCCTTCTGGTTCAGATGGAACCTCAAACTTAGGAGAGGCTTCCAGGAACTAATACAAAGGCCCTTAGAGGTCCCTTGAGGGTGTCATCTCTGACCAGGGGGATGGGAGTGATACAGGCAGTTACATGGCCCTCAGTCTCTGATTTACATTTGTTTGTGGTCAGGATTTAGATCACTTTATGATTTTCTGAGGCTCTCACTCGTCAGATACCTTTCTCAACCCTTGGATGAATCTGACCTCAGCTCTATCCCTGAGACCTTCCACTTTCTTGAACTGACTTTCTGACAAAGGCTTCTTCACCCTCAACCCCTCCCCAGGGTCCCTGGCAGAAATCCATTCTCATTGTGAGTAGGAAGTAAGGCCATACGCCCAGTCTTTCCTCTCCTGAACAAGACACTAGCAAGCTCAGAACATGAGTAAGTCCAGGTGCTCCAGAAAGATTTAACAGGTCTTCTCACATCTAAGTCTTAGAAGTTCAAGTATTTCCTTGAAATGGGAATTACAAAGGTCTCTAACAAGTTTCTATAGTTATTACTTGTTGCATTTTTAGAATATGGGCTAATTGCTTTATGTGGTCTTTTGGTTGTGCTCTAGAATCTGATATGCCTCACACAGTAGCTTTCCATCTTAGCCCACTCTCAAAAAGAGAGAACAAAAAGCTACCCAGCCCCAGCTGTTCTGTTCATTCAACAAGGGAGAATTAAACTTTTTTTTAACCTAGCTAAAAAATGAAAGAATAGAATTGATTTCAGTAGCTTTGATGAAATGATCAAAACACATCAAGCTATTTTAACTCTAAACGTGCTTGCTGGACATAGTACATTGTAAGGCTTGGGATTCCAAAGGGGATACCAGAAAATCAACCCAAATATCACAGAACTCTTCGCATTCCCTACTTTATAAATTCTTCTGATTTATAAAGGCAGCTTCTGCAACCTTGAACAAAATGGCAAGGATAACTTGGAGAAACTGTCAGTTTACCTTAATGTTAGAAAATGATACTTCTTTTAAAGTACTATTTAATTTAGACTTCATCTAATTCAAATTGGCTTTCCCATTTACTCAGAAGGATCATAGAATCAAAGAAATGATCTAATTCAGCCACCTCATTTTACAAATCAGTAGAGAACCTTTTAGGTTAAATGACACAGCCAGGTTTTGGCAGATCACTCGGCTCCTAGACTAGCATTCTATCCCTAAATGATCAATGTGTTAGCCATAAGTAATTCTTTTAAGTATTTTTTTTTCATTTCTTTTAAAGTGTTGAAAATTACATGAGAAATACATGAGTGTGTAACTATTATAAAATAGCACAGGAATAGAAAGTAAAGTCTACCTCCATACAAACATGCTGCTTAATCCGTTCTCTCTGGAGGGAAGCATCATTCATTCTTTCAGAGGAAACTTGTGTATGCATTTACATATCTATGTCTAAAAACTCGGGGGGCATTTAAAATCGAGTCACCTAGCAATCTCTTTCTTGGACCATATGAGTTTCTGAGATCCTTATTTGTCTCCCAGATGAATCTGCCAAATGTAGCATATTGTGGTTAATATAGATGTTTCATAGACCTGCTTATGTACCGTCAGGCTCTATCATATTCTAAAATTCAAAAGTGAGCTCCAATATGCACTATTGTGTTGAGTTCCAATATACACTATTGTGTTTTTTTTACTGGAAATACAATTTCTGTTCTTAACACTATGAACTAAGCTCCCTGTACTGTGAGAAAAGAAAGTGAATAACCGACCTACAAAATCCATATAAATTTCCTCGACAGGGCTTGCTTGGCTTCCGTCTCAGCAGAGGCACACAATATTCTAGAAAACAGAAGTCAAAAGAATAATCTTGTGCAATTTTTTTTTTTTTTTTTTTTTAAGACAGGGCCTCACTTTGTCACTCAGGCTTGAGCGCAGTGGTCTGATCTCAGCCCTACAGCCTCAATCTACCAGGCTCAAGCAATCCTCCAGCCTCAGCCCCCCAAGTAGCTGAGACTATAGGTGGGGTATACCACCATGGCCAGCTAATTTTTTTATATTTTTTGTAGAGATGGGGTATCGCCATGTTGCCCAGCCTGGCTTGTGCAATTTCATTTTTTTAAAAAATAGCTAATGGAGATTCTGATAATTCTTATCGTTTCCTGGTCAACTTCTGTGTCTTTCCTAACTTTCAGGCTGTCAGTAGAAATGATGAACTGTAGCAGGCCAGGAGTTCAGCTTCATTTGGTCACTTCTTTCTTTCCTGTCTTCTTGCCCATGCAGCTTTCCCCCTCTGGTGTTGTCTTCTTATTTCTGACCATGCTTGGGAGCGAGCTATGTGACACCCAGATTTTCTGAGTTGCCAGCAGTGGAGAGGAGAGACCCAGGCAAGCAGATTCTTCATGGACCCTACTAGGAAGGACAGAGAAAAAGAGCACTGGTGTAGGAGCCCACAAGCCTGGCTCTTAACCCTGGCCTGGTGACTTCAGCTATTTGACCTTGAGCAAGTCACTTCATTTCTCCTTTAGCAACATCTCTAAAATGAGGGAGTGAACAAAGATGTTCCCTTAGGTTTCTTCCAATTCAGAAATACCAGTTCATTTTTATTTAAATATGAACATGACCAAGGCATGTGCAGTCTGTAAAGCTGGAGAGCTGCCCAGCACCATCGTGTTTCCATTTGTGCAGTAGCCCCCCTCACGTGAGCCCTGTACGTGAACATATGAAATCTTATGCTGCATCCACATTCAGTAAGAAGAAATTGCTTTTTCAGTGTCTGTGGGAGGAGATAAGCTGCAGGTGCTGTTTATTTTCCCAAAGGACTTTATATATGAAACGCAGGCTTTATTAAATTTATCAAATGCAATAAGAGAAAAATCTGTCATCTGATGTTAAGATAGCATTCTGGGAGCCGGGTCGGGGTACTGTATTTGCTCGCCAGAATCAGATCAAACCAGATACAAGTCCTTTGGTGTGACCGGATTCATT